TTCCTAGGTAGTATGAGACGGTGCCGAGGTCGCGCATGGAGAATTCGGCGGCAAGCTTCTTCTTCACGTCCGCTACAAAGGTCTTGCAATCCGACACGAGGAGAAGGTCGACGACGTAGAGGAGAAGAACGAGCTTCTTCTCGTCCTTGTTGAGCACGTAGAGCGCGTGGTCACACTCGCTCCGCACGAACCCTAACGAGAGGAAATGTTCGTCAATCCTCGTGTACCACGCACAAGGGCTTTGCTTGAGGCCGTAGATCGTGCGCTTGAGCTTGCACACACGGTCGGAGTCGTCGTCAAACCCGGGAGGTTGCTTCATGTACACCTTCCCCTTGACATGACCGTAGAGAAACGCCGTCTTTACGTCGAGTTGTTCCACCTCCAAGTCGAGTGCTCCCGCCAACGCCAAGAGGGTGCGCAACGTAGCGGACTTAGCGACGAGAGAGAACGACTCGTTGTAGTGAAGACCCTCCTTTTGAGTGTAGCCTTGTGCCACCAACCGCGCCTTGTACCGCTCCACTTCTCCGTTGGGGCCAAGCATCTTCTTGAAGACCCAACGAGATCCAACGAGGTAGGCGCCGGGAGGCATGGGGACAAGCTCGTAGACACCGTTCGCCATGAGTGAATCGTACTCCTCTTGAAGCGCTCGTTCCCATTCCGCCGCTTCCGCCGAGCTCATGGCGCCGTCCTTGTTAGGTGGACGGGGTATCGATGTATGCCTCAGGGCATATGGCGTCTCCCCCTCCCGCATCGTTCTCCGCCACGAGAGAGCAGTCATCGTACTTTGAGTTGGGATGAATAGCCCTCCGAGTGTGAGTGGATGCAAGGGTGGGAGTGGTAGTAGGAGGAGGAGATGGAGGGTCACTTTCCTTGGCATTTCCTTCATCCACACTCACTCCAACCGCACCCGATCCATTCTCCCCCTCACTCGCACTAGGAGGAGGAGCCGTGAGACCTTCATCCGCCTCATCCGCGGCATCCAAGGGTGGAGGGACGATGATGACCGAGGGCACGTTCATGGACTAGGACGGGAAGGTGTCTTCATAGAACACTACGGTACGCGACACCACGAGTTTCCCGAGCTCCAAGTCCCACACACGCCACCCCTTGTGATCCGCGCTTGGACCCAAGTACATCGCCACCCACGCCTTGGCCTCAAGCTTGGTCCGTGTAGCATCCGGGACATGGTAGTAGCACGTACACCCAAACGTGCGAAGGTCGGTGACGTCCGGCTTCGTACCGCTCCAAGCCTCAAGAGGCGTCTTGTTGGGCAACGCCTTGGTCACGCACCGGTTGCGAATCCAAGTTGCCAACGTAACCGCCTCTCCCCACCAATGCTTCTCCGCGTGAGCATGGGAGAGGAGACTCCGTGCTGACTCCATGAGCGTGCGGTTTAGGCGTTCGGCGGCTCCATTTTGTTGAGGCGTGTACGGCGTCGAGAACTCATGCGCGGTCACACGCCCTTTCAACCAATCACCGAGTTCCCCGAGCGGTGTATTCGCCACCTCCATCCGAGCGAAAGCGCTTCACCTTGAAGCCGCTTTCCGTCTCCACATCCGCGACCCATTGCTTGATGGCGGTTGACGTAGCATCCTTGTGCTTGAGAAGCCGAATCCAACACATCCGCGTCGCGTCGTCGAGGAGCGTGAGAACGTAGCGCGCCTCGCCCTTCGACGCGGGAGTGATGAGTCCGCACAAGTCCGTGTGAACGAGCTTGAGAGGTTCGGTGGCGTTCGGCTTCGTGCTTGGTGGAAATGGCTTCCGTGCCATTTTTCCTTCAAGGTAACCGACACACTTCTCGTCGTCCCCACCCGAGCGCACAAAATCCAAGCCGTGCACAATCCCCTTCGTTGCCATAGCTTGAATAGTTGTGTGTGAAGGTGGCCGAGCCGATTATGCCACGTTGAGAGAGTGGTTGTCGAAGTAGCCGCTTGAGCCATCGCCACACTCGGGAGAGCGTCGAGCACGAAGAGTCCTCCCGCTTGGCGTGCCGTGCCGATGTGTACACCATTTGCCGTGCTCAACGCTGTCATAGTCCCTTCAATATTCACGCGCATCCCCTTGCGTGTGAATTGGGAAACGGAGAGGAGGTTGGCGCCGAGCCCGGGAACCAGCAAGACATTCTTGATGGTGAGTGGACCGCTGTCCACCATGAGCCGCAAGTCGCCTTGTCCCGTGACGTCCAACGTGTCACGGTTGCCGAACATCACGCGCTTAACGGGAGCCACTGTTGTCACGTTGTTGAGAAGCGCCGCGCACGCCGTCATGTGTTGAGTAGCACCTGTGTCGAGTATCCACGCATCAACACTACCGACAGTTTTTCCTCTTGCGATGAAGACGAACTCCTAGTCGTTGTTGTCGCATGTCGCCACATGCGCGCGCCGGTTGTCGTCACTTGAAGACGGCCTCCAATTTGCCAGTTTAACGGAACAATCGCGCCACCAATGTCCCATCTTCTTGAAAAAACGACAAGCTCCGACGTGCGTCCGAGCTCGATTGGCGTTGGCCGATCCCCTTCGTGATGAGCTCGAGGTCGCCGCGCTCCCGTTCGAACTCCCGCGGTTATTGCCGTCGTTTCGCCGCTTGAAGTGACCCGTCCCTTTCGCCTTCGCATCCCGGGAGAAGTGTGCCGCGCCGATTGCCTCGCCTCTTCATTGATGAGGCATGCCACCACTTGCTCCTTCTTCCATGTATCTTGCGTCCCGTCCAACATCGTGATCACCGTTGACCACGCTTCACCGAGCCCGCGAGGAGCGTCATGATCCAATCGTTGTCTTCCAGCTCGTGTCGAGTTCCACCAAGCGCTCGCCAAGCTCCTCCACGTAGTTGACATATGCGCACATTGACTCGCCGTCCTTCATCCGCACCATGAAGAAGTCGAGGCGCGCTTGAAGCTTGCTATGAAGCGACTTGGAGACGTGCTCTCCTTCGAGTCGCTTCCACGCTTCACGAGTCGCACCTTCATGGTCGATGCAAGGGCTCACGATAGGAACGAGTTGGAGACTTAGCTTGGAGACAAGAAAGGCAAACGCCTTTTTGTCCTTTCGTACCCACGCTTCCTTTTTCGCGGTTGAAGCATCCGAGGTGGGCTTCGATGACGACCCATCGATGAAGCCCCACAAGTCACGCTACATCATGTACACCTTGAGCTTGAAACGCCACGAGGAGAAATGCTCCCCATTTGAAAATTGGCACCGCACTCAAGTCGACAACGTGCGGTGTTGTCGAGAAGTCCATCGGGAGGGAAGGGGCCGTTTGCGCATTCGTCGCCGACGAATTTTCGGAGGAACCCATGGCGTAGCAACGATTGAGCGAGCACTCCTACTCTAGCTCTCATATCATTAAAAAACCCTCCTGCTCTTAATGACGCCATAGAATGGACTTGGCGAGTTAGGAGCCAAGGCTAGAATCGATACGACGGGCTTGGAGCAATGAAACAATAGCACTTTGAATCCCTGAAATCGCCTGAGAATCGAAAGAGATATTCCTTATAATGCAAGGATAGGTACAAGCGGCGAATTGAGGATAACTCTCTGGTTTTGCTCTATGTTTTTATAGCTAAAACACACATGCAGAATTGTAACACCGAACCGAGCGCGACTCGCTAGAAATTTGGACTCAGGATTGCATCCAATTTCTGCGACGTCTGCGTTCACAATTTCGGACTTTGCCGAGTTCATTTTAAAGCAGGGCCGCGTTCGGCGGCCGCATTAGAGTCTGATGCGCCCTAGGCTCGGCAAATTGACAAATTGAAAAATTGAGGCTCGGTAATGTCCAAATTGAAATTAGGAAATGGAGGTTCGGAAAATGGACACGCAGGTTCGGGAAATCGGAAATTGGGGATGTCGAATTTCGGGCATGTCAAATTTCGACCCCAAAATTCCGACGAATTCCAGGGTGTTGAGCTTTCATCGAAGTGGGGAAGAACGCACCTGGCGCCTTCCCCACATGCATGATGCGCTGTTCAATTGCCCCAATTCGAGCTGATGCGCGCATCATGCGTGTTTAGGGCGTTGCATCATGCGCGCATCAAGGATGCGTCAGATTGCTAGTACGCTGTATTTCCTGGAAAGCGGCGACATGCAAATTTGTGGTTGCCAAAAAGACCGTTCTGCAGGCATTCGGGCTTGGTCTGCCTCGGCAGCCAAGCGCTTATCACGAACCTTGATAGCCTTTCGGCTGGTTATCACGGAAGGCTCCTGGAACATCTAAAAATATGTGCAATGTACATTGGTGCGGGCTAATGCGGCCGCCGAACGCAGCCCAGGAGTATACATTTGAAAGTACTGTTGGTTTTGGAACAGTACCCACCAGAAGCAAACTTCAACGAAAACTAATGGGATTGGCGAGAGGATCTACGAAAGTTTGGATGGCTGATGGTTGGGAACACGAGAAAGTCTCCCGTCACCCAACCCATGGAGTGACTCTCAGCGACTGATTTCTAGAAAGGGCCTTGATACACCTATATAAAAGGAGGGCGAGGAGCAGCGCTACCACTAAAATAAACGCTGGTGGTAAGGCGACACGTGTCACAAGGCTGGCTCGCGGGATTACTAAGTAAGCATTTTTTACAAACACCTCCCTCTCTCATGAATAGACTCGTTCAAAGGCCTCGCGATAGATGTAGGGATAGCCTTCGGAGAGGCGCGCCGCATTCCATGCTTTCCATCGCCGGCGACGTTCTCGCCGAACCCGCAGCTCGAGCGCCAAACCCGCAGCTCGCGACACCCTCTTAGCGCGTCACCTGCGTCTCGCCTAATACCCCGCTGCGCGCCTCAACACTTAGCGCCCCACCGCTTGGCGCCTCACCGCTTAGCGCCTCACCGCTTAGCGCCTCACCGCTAAGCGCCTCACCGCTTAGCGCCCCACGGCTTAGCGCCTCACGGATTATCGCCTCACGGCTTATCGCCTCAACCACTGCGATTCTTCTCAAGTTTTAGCGCAGGCGGGAGCTTCTCGTGTAACCCATAGCTTGTCTCGCTTAGCACGTCACCAGCTTCATGCTCACCCTCTGCTTCCCCTCGTCCCCCCTCTCCTTCCCCTCGTTCCCCCCTCTCCTTCCCCTTGTCCCCCCCTCTCCTTCCCCTCGTCCCCCCTCTCCTTCCCCTTGTTTCCCCCTCTCCTTCCCCTCGTCCCCCCTCTCCTTCCCCTTGTTTCCCCCTCTGCTTCCCCTCGTTCCCCCCTCTCCTTCCCCTTGTTTCCCCCTCTGCCTTCCCTCGTTCCCCCCTCTCCTTCCCCTCGTTCCCCCCTCTCCTTCCCCTTGTTTCCCCCTCTGCTTCCCCTCGTTCCCCCCTCTCCTTCCCCTTGTTTCCCCCTCTGCTTTCCCTCGTCCCCCCTCTCCTTCCCCTTGTTTCCCCCTCTGCTTCCCCTCGTTCCCCCCTTCCCCTCGTTCCTCCCTCTCCTTCCCCTTGTTTCCCCCTCTGCTTCCCCTCGTTCCCCCCTCTCCTTCCCCTTGTTTCCCCCTCTGCTTTCCCTCGTTCCCCCCTCTCCTTCCCCTTGTTTCCCCCTCTCCTTCCCCTCGTTCCCCCTTCTCCTTCCCCTTGTTTCCCCCTCTGCTTCCCCTCGTTCCCCCCTCTCCTTCCCCTTGTTTCCCCCTCTGCTTTCCCTCGTCCCCCCTCTCCTTCCCCTTGTTTCCCCCTCTGCTTCCCCTCGTTCCCCCCTTCCCCTCGTTCCTCCCTCTCCTTCCCCTTGTTTCCCCCTCTGCTTCCCCTCGTTCCCCCCTCTCCTTCCCCTTGTTTCCCCCTCTGCTTTCCCTCGTTCCCCCCTCTCCTTCCCCTTGTTTCCCCCTCTCCTTCCCCTCGTTCCCCCCTCTCCTTCCCCTTGTTTCCCCCTCTGCTTCCCCTCGTTCCCCCCTCTCCTTCCCCTTGTTTCCCCCTCTGCTTTCCCTCGTCCCCCCTCTCCTTCCCCTTGTTTCCCCCTCTGCTTCCCCTCGTTCCCCACTTTCCCTCGTTCCCCCCTCTCCTTCCCCTCGTTCCCCCCTCTCCTTCCCCTTGTTTCCCCCTCTGCTTCCCCTCGTTCCCCCCTCTCCTTCCCCTTGTTTCCCCCTCTCTTCCCCTCGTGCACAGCGAGCGCAGGTGACGCTAGCGCGCCAGCAAACATCACGCGGTTGCAGACTCACGCGCTCCAGCCCCATTTTCCACCCTGCCAGCCCCATTTTCCACCCTGTCAGCCCCATTTTCCACCCTGTCAGCCCCATTTTCCACCCTGTCAGCCCCATTTTCCACCCTGTCAGCCCCATTTTCCACCCTGTCAGCCCCATTTTCCACCCTGCCAGCCCCATTTTCCACCCTGCTAGCCCCATATTTCCCCCTATGCTTGCCCCATGTTTCCGCCCTCTTGGCCCCATGTCACCCCCCTACTGCTGGCCCTATGTTTCCCCCATGTTACCCCTATGTTTCCTCCATGTTACCCCCATGTTTCCCCCCATGCTAGCCCCATTAATCCCCTGTTTCACCTCCTTTCCGCCCCTGCTTCACCTCCTTTCCCTTCCTGCTTCCCTCCTTTTCCCCCATTGCTTCCCCTGCTTCCCCCCCTACCTCCCCTCCCTTCCCCCCTCTTCATCCCCTCCTTTCCACTACTGCTTCACCTCCTTTCCCCCCCTGCATCCCCCTTTCTCTATCTGCTTCCCCTCCCTTCCGCCCCTGCTTCACCTCCTTTTCCCCCCTGCTTCCCCCCTTTTCCCCCACGGCTTCCCCTCCTTTCAACCCTGCTTCCACTCCTTTCCCCCCATGCTTCTCCTCCCTTCCCCCCGCATCCCCTCCTTTTCCCCCCTTGCTTGCCCTCCTTCCCCCCACTTTACCTCCTTTCCCCACCTGCTTCCCCTATTTCTCACCCTCCTTTCGCTCATTTCCCCCCTGTGCTTGCCTCAATGCCTCTCCACCCCTTACAGCCCAATCGGCTCCTTAGTTTGCTTATTCACTGTCCTCCCTTTTGACCCTGCTATGCTCCCTCCTCCCCTTGCTTACCCTCCCTCTTCTCTTCTACCCTCTCTAACCACTTTCCACCTCTAGTACCGTGTTTACCGCCTTCCCTTTCCATACCGAGCGGCTCTCGAGTGCAGCATGGAACAAGATGGACTAGTTTTCTTCAGTCTAGGCTTGCATGCTGGCCTCTCGATATCAGGGTGATTCACCCTTATGACCCTTACTATAAGGGCGGGTTTTACGATGCACCCTTTTTTACAAGACTGGTTTTGTTTTCGACCCTTACCAAAAAAAGTGATCGATTGTATGACACTGATATTTCAGAGCTATGTGGTGTAGTAGCACTGATGAAATCGAGTTCGATCTAAGAGAGGATACCAGGATTGGTCGCGTAAAACACATTTCCTACGGCGGATGACCCCGACAGGTATCGAACTTGGGTCCTCCACATAACAACGATGACTCAAAACACTGCAACACTAACACCCTACATAGTATGCTCAGCAAAACTATTCGACAGTTTCTTTAATTTGTTTGCACCCTGATTTTCAAGAACAGTTCCTGTGAAGCACCCTTACTGAAAGAGTAACAGCTGGGTGTTGGCCTTACGAGGAAGAGTACCCCAAATCCTATCCAGAGCAGGGCTATTGCTAGGATTTTTGCTAGCTCGGACGATCCGGGCCCCTGTGAAAAAGACCCTGTAAAATCCGAGCCAGCGGAAAAAAAACCTTGACGAATCCGGGTTCGAGCCAGAAAAGGCCTGAAAACATGCATTGCCAGAATTTCGCGGGAAACTCACAGTGGGTTGCACGAGGGCTGGGGAGATTGGAGATGGAGTGGCTCTGGAGGGGTGAGCGAGATACTTATTTTAGACTTCGAAAAAAATACGATGAGGAAGAGTACATAGGGAGAACAGGGCAATCAGACACTCTCTCCTTATTGGCCTTCTAAGCCATGTCGACGTAGAACAGGGCAATCAGACACTTGGAGGCCAACAAGGAGAGAGTGGTTAGGAAATTCACTAAAAGTGGCCCACGTGTGTTTAGAGGGAGACGGAGAGGAATGCAAGGCAGGTCGGGGAGAACATGTCTGCTAAAATTATACGGGTCCCCTTGAGAACTCCCCGGAGAGATCCGAGCTGACTCAATAATCACCCTTCAGTTTTACGGGCTGGTCCGAAAAACACCTTGTGAAAATCAGGGCCCCTTGAAAAAACACCCTATAATTTCAGTCAAAACAGGGTAATTGCCCTGATAACTTAGGCCCTGATCCAGAGGCCTGATTTGAATGTTACATCACAGTTTTATTACAAATGATGTTCACATACATCTGTCAAATGTTGTAGCCTATAGTGAGGTTTGTCTTAGGGGGTACAAAACTTAGGGTTAGCTATATGTACCCCAACCAACATCAATGCATCATCCATTCTTCATTTTGACATGGTATCCGTTCTCCGTTCGTACCACCCGAGCCTGATCCTAGCTCTCGTTCGTCTCCTTCTCGTTGTTACCGAGCCTAGCGCCGAGCCACGCTCTCGTTCGTATCGTTCCAGCTGTTACCGAGCCTAGCATCGAGCCACGCTCTCGTTCGTAGCGTAGCCCGCCCCCCCCCCCCCCCGTCGCGTCGCCTTCCCCCCCCCTCGAGTCGCGCCCGTCCCTTTCCCCCTGTCGCGTCGCGCTCCCCCCGTCGCGTCGCGTCCGCGCCTTCCCCCCGTCGTGTCGCCTTCCCCCTGTCCCGTCGCGCCCCCCCCTTTCCCCCTGTCGTGTCGACTTCCCCCTGTCCCGTCGCACCCGCCCCTTTCCCCCCGTCACGTCGCCTTCCCCCTGTCCCGTCGCACCCGCCCCTTTCCCCCCGTCACGTCGCCCTCCCCCTGTACCGTCGCACCCGCCCCTTTCCCCCCGTCACGTCGCCTTCCCCCTGTCCCGTCGCACCCGCCCCTTTCCCCCCGTCACGTCGCCCTCCCCCTGTCCCGTCACTCCTGCCCTCTCCCCCCGTCGCGTCGCCCGTCCCGCAGCGCCCGCCGCTGTCGCTCGCGACCGCGCTCGTCGCCGCCGCGCCTGCCGCCGTCGCCCGCCCCCTGCGCGCCTCGCTGCGGCCCCGCCGTCGTCGCCCGCCGCTGCGCGCGTCGCCGCTGCGCCCCCTGCCGTCGCCCGCTGCGCGCGCTGCTGGCCCCTGCTGCCGTACGCGCTGCCATCGCCCGCCGCTGCGCCCGTTCTCGTTCTCCGCTGCTTAGTCCCCTGTTACCTCCCGCTGTCACGCCCGCTGTGGCGTCCGCTCCTCCCCTGTCCCAGAGTACCGCCGAACCCTAATTTGCCTCTCATCTACTGCTGTCCCCTCCCTCTCCGTTCGCGTTCGTTTTCGCTATGGCGACTCAGCGTGTCCTTCGTTTCGACGCTGACGGTAGACCTCTTGATTTTTCCGTCTGGCTTCTTCGTGCTCGCCGTCTGTTAGAGAGTCAGGTCCAGGCAGGCGAGTCCCTCTGGGCGCACGCTACTGGTGCCCTACCTGCGCCCCCCGACCCTACGCCTTTAGGACCTGCCCCTGACGACGCCGCTAGAGCCCGCTTTGCCACTCAGCGAGCTGACCAGACGGCTTGGACGTCACGTGACGCTGCGGCCTGCATCGCGCTCAGCAGCCTCCTCCCTGAGTCTGAGGAGGTTCACTTCACTCAGGTTCGCACCGCTGCTGCGTACCTCACTGCGATTAAGGCCCGCTACTCTACTCCCGCTGCTGTCTCTCTTGGCCGCCTGTTCCTCCCGTTCCTGTTTCCTGACCTGGCGTCTTTTGAGCGCTCTGCTGACTTGATCGCTCACCTCCGCTCGCTCGACGCTAGTTACCGCGCTGCTTGCACTGAGGCACAGCTTGCACTGCTTCCTCCCCCTATGGCGATTACTATCTATTTCATCGCCACTAGCCTCCCTGACCGCCTTGCCTCCGTTCGCGACGCGCTTCTGCTGAAGCACCCTAGTGAGCTCACCGTCGAGGTCCTTGAGTCTGCACTCAAGGACGTCGAGAGCAACCTTCGCTCGGTAGCCGCTGCCTCTGGTGCTGTGCCCCCCCCACTCTTCCACGGGTGCACAGTCCCGCAGTTACCCACCTTTACTGCCTCACTTGCCACTGCCGCTACTGACGCGACTGCAGCTGCTGTTACGACTGCGTCGCGGTCCCGCGGTAGGAGTGGCAAGAAAGGCGGTTCTGGTGGTGGTAGTGGAGGTGGAGGCGGAGGTAGTGGAGGTGGCGTTGCGCCTGGCGGCGGTGGAGGTTCAGGGCCTGGAGAGGCGCCTCGTGCAGTGACTGGTGACTCCACTGCGCCTGCTGGTGGTGGCGACGCCCGAGTTCGTCAGTCGCCTCCTGTACTTCCTGCCCCGGTTGGTGGAGCAGCGGCGTGGTACCAGGCTCAGCGTCAGCAGCAGCTTCTGCAGCACCAGCAGCCCCTCTCCTCCCAGCAGCCTCAGCAGCAGCAGCGGCAGCAGCTGGCTCCAGGGTCGGGGCTGCGTCAGACCCAGCGCGGTGCTGCTTACACTCCCTGCACCTACCAGGTTCTGACAGGCACTCGTCGTGGCCACCCTTGTGGCCGGTTTCACCCCCCTGGTCAGTGCTTTGCTCAGCTCACTGACACGGTTCGTTTGGTCTACGGGGTTGGTGCTCCTGCCCCTGACTGGCTGCCTCTTGTTCAGCGCTACGGCTCCGCTCTGTGGGGCATGTCTGCTGAGCAGTTAGTTGATCTGATTGGTACTCCCCATGCTATGTATGCTGTTGTTGACTCTAGTGTTTCTGACTCTGCTTACTCTGGTGTTGTTAGCTTAGGTGCTAGCCTTGCTCAGTTGCCTGTTGCTAGTGTAGGTTCTTGTGTAGACTCTAGTCCAGCGGCTACCTCAGAGGACGGTTCGCTGTCGTTCACGCTGGACTCTGGAGCCTCTCACTGCTTCTTTCGTGACAGCACGACACTTACGCCTCTTCCTGCGCCTGTTTCTGTGGCGCTGGCTGATCCCACTTCGGGACCAGTCACCGCGCGTCACACTACCACCTTGCCGTGTCCGGCTGCTCCTTCTGGGTCTCTCACTGGGTTTCACGTCCCCTCGTTCTCCCGGAACTTGGTGGGCGTGCGACCCCTCGTGAGTCAGCACGTGGGTGTGTGGTTTGAGCCTTCTGGAGAGACTGCGGTGTGTGTTGACGGGGACTCTTACCAGCCCCTCGCCACTTTTGCTGCTGAGCCGGGCTCCGGTCTCTACACTCTTCACACTGGCCCGCGCCCTCAGCAGCGGCAGCAGCAGCAGCAGCAGCAGCCGCAGCCGCAGCCACAGCCGCCCCTCCTGCCCCCGGCCCCTGTTTTGCCCCCCGTTCGAGTCCTCGCGTCTCACCAGGTTGCTCCGTCCCCCCAGGTAGCTGTGTCTTGTCAGGTTCCTCCGTCTAGTCCGGTCGCTGCGTCGTGCTCCTGTCGGTCGCTTGCCCACCCCACCGTTTTGTGGCACCACCGGCTGGGGCACCCTTCTCCTCCTCGTCTTCGCGCTATGTCTCGTCAGCGTCTTGTCTTAGGTCTCCCGCGTGTCTTGCCGTCGCTGCCGCCGTCCCTTGCACCACCGTGCGGTCCTTGCGTCGAGGGTAGGCTGCGCGCCACCCCTCACTCCTCCCTTCGTCCGGCCACCGAGCCTTTTGAGACGCTGCACTTGGACGTCTGGGGCCCCTCTCCTCGCCCTGGCCCTGAGCGTGAGCGTTTCTTTTTGGTGGTCGTTGACGACTACTCCCGCTACACCACAGTGTTCCCCCTGGCGAGGAAGTCTGAGGTGACTTCTACGCTGATCAGGTGGTTGCTTACCACCCAGGACACTCGTGGTCGTCGTGTCAGCTGTCTCCACTCCGACCGCGGGGGCGAGTTTCGCTCCGGCATTCTCGCTGGATTCTGTCGCGAACAGGGCATTCGTCAGTCCTGGACGCTTCCGGAGTCCCCACAGCAGAATGGGGTTGCTGAGCGTCGCATAGGCCTGGTCATGGAGATTGCCCGCACCTCCTTGACTCACGCCCGTGCCCCCCATTTCCTGTGGCCATACGCGGTCAGGTACGCCGCGCACCAGCTGAACCTCTGGCCA